ACCTTCAGTTGCACTTGGTAGAAAATCTACAGTAGATATTTCATTTCCTGAAGATCATCATTTATCAAATTAACATGCTAAGTTTTATCTTGTAGATTAGACTGTTACTATTGAAGATCATGGATCAACAAATGGGTAAAGAATTTAAATTAAATTTAAGATCTTGGATGAGATTATCAGGAGAAGGTAAAATGAGTAATTTATTTTATTTGGATCCAAATGAAGAGATAATAATAAGAATAGGTACAACAAATTAATTAATTTGTTAATAAAATAAAATGAAGATTAATGAAATTTCTGGAGAAAACTTGTGTATTATTTGTGTTGAAAGAGAAAGAGATTGTTTAATATTACCATGTAAACATAATGCTACATGTTTAAAGTGTAGTAAAAATTTAGTAGTCTGTCCATTTTGCAGAGTTAAAATTTAAGAAACTATTAGAATTTATAAAAATTGACCTTTGATTAAAATATATATCTATTTATTATGTAATCATTATTTAGATAATTTATCAATTAACATTGTAATGATTTTTTTTATTTTCTAAGTATTTTCATGTACAACATCTGGAATTTATCCCTTTAAGTAATAATTTATATTAATAAAGACTTCTTCTTCCCAATCCTTATAATAAATAATATTAAATTATTACTTTCTCACAATAGAATAGTCGTCTTAACTCTTCTAGTTATTCTTATGTTATTTTAAATCTTAAATAACATAATAGTAACATCAAATGAATCATACACTATAAATTATGTTATAATTATTTGAAAATATTCTAACATTTTTATGTGTTATCCATTAATTATATAAATTACTAAAAACATAATTCCAATAATGAATTCATTGATTCAACTGAAGCTGGATTATTTTCTTTAAATCTTTATAAGATTTTCTTTTAAATAGCTCTAAATTCAGTAGCCTTTTATTCTAAATCTTTTTCATACTCTTTTAATGATAATTTTAATGTGAAATGTTCATCAATAACATCAAATATATCTTTTAAAGGAACATCATCAGTATATTTTACATTTTCACGTTCTCTAACAACAAGTTCATGTAATAGAAAACAAATAGCTTCAAAATTTTCACTTTAAAGTCTCCATCTATCATTTTATTTATTTGCTAAAATAGATACTTTAGAATTAGTCATTTATAATGTCATTAAACTTTAATTAATTAAAGATGAATCTATAGGTTTTATATCTTTAAAAGTGTTATAAATTGATAAATTATTTACATTAACTGTTATTTTATATTTAGCATTTTTTTCAGGTTAAATCATATAGCAAAATAAACTAAGTGGTAAAGTAAATTCTGTTTAATAACATCCATTTTTATGATTACAAAGTACTTTTACAACTCTATCTATTGGACAATTCTTAGTAGAATAAACATTAAATTCATGTATGATAGTTCCTTATAAAACATTGATTTCGAATCTTGGATTGGTGATAAAGACAGATTCATCATATACTAATTAAACTTATAAGTTTTCAATTAATTATTTAGATGTTATGTTTAAATAAACTAAACATTAAATTACTAAAGATTCAACTTATAAATAATTTTCTTTATCTTCAATATAATCTCTAGTCGGAGCTAATTTGATTATTTCTGCATTAATCTACAATGAGGATTTTTCATTTTATTCAATTACTGGATTACCCTCTTTTTATTAGATCGATTATAGAGTTCCAGTATATAATTCATTTAATTATTGATAAGAATACTATTATTCAATTTAAAATTATTTTTGTATAGAAATTTATTCAGTACCTAAAAATATTACTTAGAGATATCCTTCATCATTCAATACAACTAATAATTTATCAATATCATCAAATTTTCCAATAGATATACCATGACAAACATGATCAGTTTTTGCTGCCCACACTAAATTCAAATCCTTATATATCATTAAATGATGAGTAAATGATGTTATTATCAATGTATGAATATCAGTTACTAAAATTGAAGCAGGAGGATAATCCAATCTTTTTTAATGAAATATAATCCCACTTTATTATACTTGAAATAACATCTATTCACAAATAACATAGAATATATTCTATGATGAAATTTCAATAATTTTTTATGCTTATTCCCCTAAATTCAATGTCCAATTAGGCTAAGCTCTTTTCTTTTATAATGTACATAAATTTGCATATTTATAACATTCTAATTCATAACAACTGTTTTATAAAATAAATGAATCTAATTATTATGAATAAATAATAGGACCAGGTAATGGAAAATATTCTGTACTCAATTAACAAATATGCAGTAATTATTCTTATTCATAAATCATTAGACAAGCATCACAACTTTGTATACATATAAGATCTTTTCTTCCTTAACCAAACTAACCAGAACACATATTAAATCCATTTCTTTATAATTTATGTTCTTTTAGTATTTCCATATCTAAAGTGTAAAATACTACTCTTTTAGGAAATAAGACACAAAGAGATTTATTACCAAAATATCCAATTAAAATTTATAATATAGGATCTTGTAAATTTATTTCTTATTTTAGATGTGTAGGTTTATAATCACCTCTTTAAGGTTAATAGATTCTTAAATTTCCTGAATATGATCCAACATAAATTATTGAATTGTCTACGAAAAGATGTTATTCATCAAATTCTTCAGGACCTACTCTTGTTCCCCAAAACTACTTAGTGTTAAATAATGACATATATATATATAATTAATATTATATAAAATGCAAGATGAATTTGACATTGAAGTTAATTTTGAATAAAATAGTTCTATGACATTCGAAATGTTTAAATTATTTATAATTATTAGTGGACATAATAGTGTTAGATTTCCAAAAGCAGGAATTAAAATTAATAATGAAGGATTAACAACAACCAATGGAGAATAGATACAAAATACTTAAGAATCTATAACACATTAATAAATTAAAGTTGGAGATGTTATTGGATAAGGAGTATCTAGTTATGTTTGTAAAGGATTATATTTACCTTATAATTGTTAAGTAGCTTTAAAGGTTAATATTCAATGTTATTATTATATCAGATAATTAATGTTTTTGATAAAGATAAAAGACATTAGATGTTAAATGATCTAAGTACACTCTTAAATGGTTGTGAATGTGAATAATTGATCAAATTTTATGGTGCATATTATGAAGAAGGTAGCTCTATCATTGATTTTTGAGGAACCATAAGATTGGTACTTGAATATATGGATCAAGGATCATTACGAAGCATTATTCAATAAATCTATAAGCATAATTAAAGTGAATTAATAAATGAATAAATTATTGCTACAATAACTTATAATATTCTTATGGGATTATAATATTTGCATTAGTAGAAGCATTAACTTCATAGAGATATTAAACCAGAAAATATTCTCATAAATAGTTTAGGATAAATAAAATTGACAGATTTTGGAATCAGTAAATAATTAGAAAACACTATTGCAATAGCTAGAACATTTGTTGGTACTTTAATGTACATGTAAGATATTTCTGTTATTTGTTATAGGTCTCCAGAAAGAACAGAAGGTAAGAACTACTCTTATGCATCAGATATATGGTCTTTGGGATTAATTATATATGAAATGGCAACTGGGAAACATCCATATTCAGTTTCCAATAAATAAATGACATATATTCAAATGATTTAGAATATTTTGAAATCAGATTCTCCAAAATTGGATAATTATCCTTATAGTTTAGAAATGAGGGATTTTGTTAATATATGGTAGGATTTGAATATTGATTTTAGTTTAAATAAGGATTAAAACAAACGATTAGATGCATAGACTTTATTATAACATAATTGGATTAAAAAAAATGCTTAGAATGTACAATATGTTTAGATGTGGATCATGTAAAAAGATTAAAAGTTATAGTAAGTCCAACAATAATGAATTTATATCAATAATTTAACTATTTATTGTATTGTAATAAAAATTTGTAGTAATAAAAAAAAATAACTTATTTTTATAATGGATTTAGAAATAGTAATAAATTATGAGTAAAATCAACAAGTAGTGGATGATTTATGTGAGTAATTCGATGAGTTAGAAGAATCAAATGAAAAATATCATTTATATATGAATCGTGGATCTAGAAGAGAAATGCTTGACAGAGTAATATTTAATATTTAATTATTTTTAGTATTAAGTTTTGAATAATCATTATGCAATTTTTGATGGTCATGGATCATCTCATGTTGCTGATTATTTATAACAAAATTTATTATAAAGATTACAAAATGAAATGTCAGATGAGGAATATAAAAAAGGTATTATATACAATTTAATATTTGTAGTGTTTAGTGATATTGATAATAATTTAACATAATACATGTAATCTGGATCAGTTGCTATATTATTGTCTATTTAAAATAAAACTGTTACAATAACAAATCTAGGAGATTCTAAAGCAATTGTATTTAGAGAGAATTCATTTGAATAATTAAATTCTATTCATATTCCCTAATCAAAAGAAGAATATTAGAGAATACATAAATAAGGAGGGTATAATTATCATTTTTAAATATTTAGACTTATAACAAAGAGATAAAATATTAGTCGAGTCTCTGGATAATTAACTGTTACAAGATCATTTGGAGATTTTTATCTTAAAAAATATATTATTAGTGAACCAGAAATCTTCAGATATTAAATTACAGAGAATGATAGATTTATAGTTATGGCTAGTGATGGTTTCTGGGATGTAAATATATTTAATTTATTTTAGGAACTTTCGGAATAAGAAGTTTTATAGATCATTCAGAAACTTGATTAAAATAAGAATTTAGCAAAATAGTTATATTAAGCAATATCAAGTGATTATATAAGAGACAATGTAACTATAATGGTATTCCCATTATGAATTTAATTCAATTCTGATTATTTTGTTTTTATCTCTTCCTAATTAATTAATAATCAATCAATTAAAAAATAATCTAAAGAAATTCTTAAATTCTCAGATTTCAACATATTAAAATAATCAAGAGAAATATGCAATAATTATTGAAATATCATCAACCACATCATCCTCTTCTTGCCATCTTCTAGTAGATTCTCTTATAATACTTTCTACCATTTCATCAATTTTTTTAGCATTCATTTAAGGACTCCAATAACTGCAAATAATATGTTGAATTTCATCATTGTTTAAAAATTCCCATACACCATCACTAGCTACAACCAAAAATCCACATTTTGATGTCATTTTGTGATAAATTAATTCTGGATCTGATATTACACCAACTGTAGATGCAACATAATCACCAAAAGATCTACTCATTGCTAATCCTGGAATTTGCTCATGCATCAACCATACTCTAGCTGGTCCAATATTTTAACCATTCTCAGCCACAAATGGTTATACACGTCCTTTACTTGCTAAAATCCTTTTCTTTTCAATTGGTAAATCAGGTTTATGATCATTACTTAATTCAACAATTTTCCATTTGTTGCAATCTCCATTCTATTCAATAAATATCTATTTATTTTAAATAACAATATTATACAGATCTTGAATCTCCAATATTAGCACACCATAAATTATTTCCTGAAACAAATACAGTTGAACAAGTAGATCCACTAAATGCTATATCAATTCCACAAGATGACTAATTCTATATTATTAAATATATACCAAATCTTTAGTCATTTTTTAATAACTACTTTAAAAGCATTTCTCTACTTCTGAATATAAATCTTCACCAATATCTATTTCCTATTTCCCAATAAATATTTTCAATTATTAATCTATTATTGTAGGTAAAACTCTTTTAATTAATTAAGAAACATAATGTCCATATACTCCATGACCATCACAAACTGAGAATAAATATCTAAAATTTACTAATTTTTATACCTATTTTTTATGCCTCCAAAATTATTCGAGATAATAATTGAATCTTGATTTGTTTTCGTTTATTTATTTCCATTTTGACCTGCTTAAGTTCTTAATTATAAATTATTATCTAACATACTTAGATAGAAACAATTAAACAAAATCTTATAGTTCATCATCTTCTGTTGCATTAGAATTGACAAGTGCAGCTTGACTAGTTGATCTTCCATGTAACATAATCATTTATTAAGGCATCTTAGGCTTTATTTTTATGTCTTATACAATAGCTTATGAACTAACCCTACTCTAAATGGAACGTAATTTTGGGGAAGAATCCTAATACAATTTAAGAAATGAAGTTTTATTCTTAACTATAAATTTTATGAATGTACTTATGGAGTGTTGTCTGTATTACTAGCATCGGTTCTTTTACTTCTTCTTTAAGATTAGGTTAGATCAATCCTAGCCTAAAGTTCTTAAGGGGCATTTGTTGATTCACTTCTTTTCAAATTTGGCAATTTTGTTGGGGATAATGGCTTTGATATGATTTAAAAATAATTATACTTCATTTGATTAATTTGAGAATTTGAAGATGTATGGTTTATCATTATTGTTACTAATTACTCTCTTTTTAGGGGAATAGCTAGATGGTTAAAGTAATTATAATTTTTTTTAAGTAACCTATGATAATATAGTAAAACTGTATTTATACAATCTTGATTTTTTCATCTTATATATTCATACCTCCTGTTGGATGTCTTTTCTAATTACTTCTACTCTATTATGAAGGAGGACTAAATTCTAATATGATGATACTTTAATTGAAAAGTGTATGTACGATCAGATGGTTAAGCTTTCTTTTTAAGACCAGGAGAATTTGCAATAGAATCTTGATTTGTAAATTTAAGTGGATAGACACGAATGGGATTCATTTATTAAAAATAATTAAGTTCATATTCTCTTTTACTAATACCACTATGGAGTTAACTTAAACGCAATTTCAGGTTAGATTGATAATTCCTCTATAATTAAACATGATTTGATATACCTTTTGTAAAATCAAAGAAATTAGGCAACTTTACATTTGGAATTCCAAATTTTTCATCTCTAATTTCATTAAAATAAGGATGAGACAAAGCTTCTAATGGTCTCAATCTTTCTCTAGGAGGATACAACATTATTTTAGATATCAAATCTATAAACAATGGATCAGGTTTAAACTTTTAAAATACCTAAAAAAATTATATAAAATGAATTTACTTTATTCCAAGGATGATTCTTAATTTATGGAAATTTGAATTCTTTATGCATAGGATTCATTTATTTCACTTATTCAACAGTTGGAGTTCCAAGTATTTTAATAATTTCAACTAATTAATCTGTGGCACTCTCTCCTGGAAATAAAGGCTCTCCAATAGTCATTTCAGCTATTACACAACCTATAGACCACATATCTATAGCAGTTGTATATTCAGTTGCTCCAAATATTAATTCAGGTGCTCTATAATATCTTGAACAAATATAAGCAACATTTGGTTCTCCTTTTTACAATCTCTTGGCTGATCCAAAATCACATATCTTGAGAATATGATTATTTGGATCAACTAAAATATTTTAAGGTTTTATATCTCTATGACTAATTCCAATTCCTTCATTTTATATATAACTATCTAATACCTTCTAAATATGCTAGTGCACGAAACATTTAATAACTATATATTTTCAACAAAGCTGCTGGAAAAGGTTATTTAGCCTTCTTATAATATCTGATCACCTTACTTAATGTGTCAGGAATATAATCCATTACCAAATTTAAATAAACATCATCACCCTTTTTATAAATGTATTTGTTATTACTTTATCACCTTATGTAAAAAATGCCTCTTTTAGTTTTATAACACATGGGTTATTCAATTCTTAAATTATTAAATGCTCTCTATTCTTATAACGTTTATCTTAGAACACCTTTTTTATAGCAACTTTTTCATTTGTTTAATTATTTGTGGCCTAGAATTAATATATCTTTTACCAGATAAACCATTCCAAATGTCCCATTACCGACAATTTAATTTAAAGTATATTTAGATGCTTATTGATTTTACTTGAAATTATTGTTATCTATCTTACTGTCACTACTTCTTATTGATCGTTTGCCTGTGTTGTCATTCTTGTTGCCTATTTTGTTGATGATTTCTTATTTATCATTTTTATATTTTCAAAATATTATTTATATAATTTTATATCATAAATAAATATGATATTGAATTTTGATAACTTTCTTTTATCAAATACCTTTTATATAATTCTATATTTATTTTTATTTTATTCTCATATAATTCTCTTACAATTCTATATATATTTTTATATTGTTTTTCAATCAATTATTGTGATATAAAAATAAAGAAATTGATTACAATTAAAAATGATATAAGAATACAGTATTTTAAATACATTTTCAAGTTCATCATTTAGGATTTAAATTAAATAAATAAACAAATCTATTTTTTTATTCCTATTTTTAAATCATCTAATTCTGTATTTATTAATTGTTCTTTATTTAAAGTAAATAATTTAAATTTAGATCATGATACATATTCTTTATGATTTAGAAATATCTAATTTGGAACTTTTCATTGCTTTAAATAACTGTTAAAAAATTAATCTTCATCAAAAAAACCACTTTTTCTCTCTTAAAAAGTATGTATTTTCCTCCTCCTTTTTTATCCTATGGAAAGATTAATTTAATTTCTCTAATAAATCCTTTATTAAGTTTTAGTAATCATCATTACTTTATATAATTTATTTTAATAATTTAGAGAGATCATTAAAAATTAAATAAATATAAAACATGAAAATCAATAGAAATAAGTTTTCAAGGATTCAATCTGTTTTTATTCTGTACTCAATTTATTAATTTACACAATCCATTTATTTTTCTATTGCTCTTTTTTTGCATTTGTTATTTATAGGAAATCTGGCTATATTTTAATCAAAAACATTAATGACTTTTCCATTATCTCTTTATTCATTGGTATTTTATTAAGTAGGTGCTATATTAAATTGTTATAGTAAACAAATGAAACAGATCTTTAATTGAAATACTTAATAGTTATTTCAACAATTTATTTAATTTAATCTCTCTGCTCATCAGAATATATTTGAAATGGCAATTATATTGGTGAGATATCCTATACAAAATTCATATCAAAGGTTGGATAATAGATCTTAAACTCTTTAGAATACTCTAAAAAACTCTCTTATCCAATCAATTTCAAATAATCTTCATGTTTTTCTTATACTAATTTATCCATTTTATTTCTTATAGAGGCAATCCTTTTTTCAAAAATTTGAGGTAGTTAGCTTTGAAAAGGCTAAAATTATGGTAAATTTTCTGTAGGAATATGATTAAAAATCAATTCAATAGATTTATTTACAATCTTTACCTCATATAAATCTTTATCAAGTTTTAACAATTATCCAATTTATAATATTTTAATGGCATTAGTTTTGATATCATATGTTAGTGGTTTTCTCTTTTTCCAATACGTTTATTCAATATTTCTCATTGTTTATAATAATTATTAGAATTTAATTGGCAATGGATATTAATCTGAAATCTACCCAAATCTCTCTCTAAGGCTAAGAAAATTAATAGGAGTAGTAGGTGCTACTTTAATTGAAGATATTTTGGTATCTATTAACTCACTTAGATGTCTTGTAGATTCATCTTCACCATTAGTGTTATTGTCTGACTACGTTTTTATGAGTTTGTAGCTATTCATCTTATCTTAATTAATTATTATTATTTACAACGAAATGCGGGTATCAATAAATAAACCCGCATTTTGCTATTAAATTAATAGCGCCAAAAATTGAGATGCTATAGTTAAGGTATAAAACTTTATAAATAAAATAATAAATTATTTAGATTGATAAACCAAAAAAATACATTCATATATACATATTAATACATATCATTTATTACAAAATATACAAATATACTCTAATATATAAAATACAAAACTTTTAAACTAATCTATATTTTTAATAATTTCATTCTTAATTTATTTTTGATTCTCTATTAAGTGGTTGTGTCAAGTAGAATTCATTTTCTGTATCTTCTTTCAAATTATAGAATTTGAAATCAGTATAACAGCCTTGAGTGAATTCATAATTGAACTAAAATTATTATAAAAAATTTAGACTCATAATTTAATTCTGTAAACAACTACTAAGCTTTCTTTTTTTATTATAGATTACAGTCTACTCTTTAAAATATTACATTATTGTAATTAAGAATAATTGCCTATTACATAGAGGTTACTTGAAAAGAGATCAAAGAGAACTATAACTGAGAATGAGTGCATTATTATTAAATTAATTAAAACTATGACAAATTATTAAGCTATTAGATTAAAATTATAAACATAATAGTATACTAATTAAGTAGACTATAGCTATGTTAATTTTTATTTATTATTTTTTATATCCTTCAAAAATTTTGTCTTAAACTATTTTTTATTAGAAAATTCAAATGAATTTGAATATGTGTCTTATAAAAATGGATAAATAAAAGTCATATCAATAGATATAAATATGTATTCAATAATAATTTATTTGTTGTACAAGATATCTTAAACTTTATGAATTAAAAATTAATGATACTAAATAAGAATTTTAAGACTTTTCTATTGGTTAAAATAAATAAAATTTCATAAAATTTTTATGAATTATTTTCTTTCCTTAATAAAATATATATCAAAAAAGGATTATTCTGGAATAGTTTCAAAGAATTATATATTAAGATTTTGAAAATTTATTACTATGAATCATAATAACTTTTTTAGAAAATAGAATTAAACATTTATCATATATGGAATTTATTGAATTTCATAATTTGTAATTCAATAACATTAATACCACTTTTTGATAATCTACATAAGTATATATATGATTATTTTCGTTATTTTTCATATAAATGAATTAATTTTTTTAAATCTTAAAAGTTAAAATACAACTTGTTTTCATAAATATTTAGAATAATCTAAATTGTTTATTGGAAGAATAATTTGATATATAAATATAAGCTATTTTATTTTTGTTTATAAATTCTAGGTTTTTTTTTATTTTGTAAAGGCAAATTAAATCATCAGCTTCAAAAATAGTATTGTTTTGATCTGACGAGATTTGGAATTTAAATCTAAATAAGGCATGAGAAGTTTAATAAAAATTAAAAATTTTAAAGCTTTTTTAAATAGCTAAAGAAAGGCATGGAGGGCACAGATAGTTATAATTATGATGAAATGGATTTAGATGAATTAATGTTACCTCCTCCTGCATTGATTCGATAAAATGCCTTCATTCAAGAAGAAGATGAGACTCCATAATTCATACTTACAACTTAAACTGAATGTACTTATAAGGAGGAGGAATGTCCCATCTGTTTTTGCCCTCTTAATGAGGAAAATACTGTAAAATTATTGTGTGGACATGTTCTATGTTAAGATGATTTAAATCAAATGATGTAATCTTAGCATTCAGAAACCCTAAAATGCCATATCTGTAGAACTCTTTAGATTGTAAATTTATCTTGTGTATGTGTTAAATGATATTGTTGGTACTCTTTTAAAAATATATTTTCAAATAAAAATTAGAAAAATTCATCCAAAAGATATTTTAGATCTCTATTTAAAATTTCCTTATTATCCATATATATTGAAAATCATAAAGAATCTAAAGAATGTCTCAATACAATCCAATTTTATCAGAGAGATTATTTAAAAATGGCATTTTGTTAACTTTCTCATTTCCAATATAGTCGTTATAATATATATTTATAAATATCAGTCCAAAATAAAATTATTTCTGAACTATTTTAAAATTAGGGCTTTGGATTAGAAACTTATTCTAAATAACATAAAAATAAGTAATACAAATTTAAATATCTTTCTGAGTTAATGATTAATCTATTTTAAAAAAAGAAAACCCATTAAAACCTTAATGATTTCTTAAATACATTAGTGTAAGAATAATTGATTAAATAAGCTGTTCTGTTTGTATGATTTAAAAATTATATACTATTCAATCTGATTTTAATTTGATGATTTAAATATAAGTATAGAATTTTGAGATTCAATATTAAATACTTACTTAATTTATTCTTGATCATCTCTCTTATTATTAATTAGATAATTATTTTAGTTTGTCAAACACTGTTGATTTGATTATTTTCATTTAAATATTATTAATGACTGAGTAGATACAATTTTAAATCTTAGTGAATAGAACAATACTAAAATATAGATATGGTTTTTAAATCACCTTGTAAATTATAAAGTAGTTTTGAGCGATAACTACTATAACATAATACATAAATTGAGTATTTATTTGTAGTCAATTTTAACAATATATCTACAATTTTACGAGAATGAATTAATTTAGATGGTAATAAAGAAGTATTTCTTAAGTTTGGATTGCCTCTTAAACATCGAAATGATATTCTTAAAAATGATAATCAATTAAATATATTTAAGTATATATTTAAATCTTTTTATTTTTATTTATGCAAGCAACAAGTGACCAAGTATATAAAAAAAAATTTACTTTTAGCAGGCTTTTGTATCCTTAGAAAACTATGATGATATAGATTTAATAAGAAGCAAGTTCCCTCCTTTAGCAAATATCAATATTGATCATAATTTAAATAATTTAAAGGACTGCAGATTCTTTATAATAAGAACATAAGGAGAAGATAATGTTCATAGAGCTATGAAATATGGAATTTGGACAAGGTAATGTATAAATTTAGGAAAAGCTCTTCTCGAAAAAATGAAAGATTAGATGAGGCATTCAGAAATAAAAAGGAAGATGTTTATTTATTCTTTACAGAAATAAATAGTATGTGTTTTAGTGGAATGGCTAAATTAACATCTGAATTTAATGCAAAAGCCCATTTTAAATATTGGTTAATTGAGAATAAATGGTTTGGGACATTTCAGATTTAATGGGTATTAGTTAATATTATTTCATCTCAGCTTTATGTCAAAGATATACCATTTAAACATTTTGATGAAATTAAATAAATCTAAAAATTAGAAGGTAGTGAAGAAACTTTAAAGTCTGTCTATGATCTAATTGATTGCACTGAACTGACTGTAGATAATGGCATTAAAATGGCAAGAATTTTCTAAATGGAAAAGACAAATAAGAGTTTGTTTGAAGAATTTCCTTAATTGGATAAATTGGAAGTATTTGAAATATATAAATTTAAGTTTTAAAGTAGATAGGAAAGAACCAATAATATAAGATTTGAGAAAAAATTTTAGGAATTATCAGCAGTCTTTGAAACTATACCATTCTCTTTTTCTGTAGCTTCATATGAAAGGAAAAAAACAAATAGAAAAGCATAAGGCTCTTATTACTAGTCTCAATATGGCTAATAATTTTACTATCAATAACCTTATCAATAATATTATTAGTAGCCATTTGTTGGTATATAATATTTTATAAAATTAGGATATTAATTCTAATAAACTCCTTAATATTGGTAATTTAATAATGGATTTTATTAAAATCAATATTAATAGAACTAATATAACAATAATAATAATAATGAATAAGGTTTCAACAAACAATAATAATCATATGAAAAACATCAACATTTATAAAAACATTATTCAAATTAATAATAGCAATCAAATACAGTCTCTTAATAAACTCAATAAAACACAAATTAAGAAAGTAATTAGAATGTTTAGAGTGTTCCCTTAGAATAAAGATTTCAAATAAATCATTAATAATTACAAAAGAAAGGAAAGTTTGATAAAAATAGAAACAAGAATAATAAAGATAATATATAATATGTAGAAAAAAATTCAACAGAAGCTCCTGTATAAAAATATTGATTGTTTCATTTATTTAAATCTATAAAAACGATCTTTCATTCAACTTTATTGTAAGAATTCTCTACTTAGACTTTGATTAATACAGTAATTGAAGAGATAGATCGATTTATAACAGTACCCTCTTAAGAATCTTAAGTAACAATAAAGAGAAGTTAAATATAATCTAATCTTTATGAAAATAATTACATGAAAGTATTATATATTCAATGCTCAAATCAGTTACAGAAAAAATTAATAATAAATATTTATGAACCCCCTTAGAATCTGAGTATTTCGTATGGAAAAGTTGATAATTTGTGTGAAAAATTGATATTAATATTTATTACAATGAGAGAAATCATTTCTTTACATATTGGTCAAGCTGGTCTTTAAATAGGAAATTCCCTTTGGGAATTATTCTGTTTAGAACATGGCATTCAACCTGATGGAACTGTTCCAACCGATCGAGTATTAGAAGGACTTAATTCCAATATTGATTGTCTCTATTCATTGTCATAATATGGAAGATATGTTCCAAGAGCTATTTTCTTTGATGAAGATCCTACCACAATAAATGCCATTAAAAATGGACCTAATAGGGGATTATTTAATCGTTCCAATATACATTAATGCAAATTGGAATCAGGAGGATGTTGGGCAAGAAGTTCTGGAGCATTAATAAATAAGGAAGGAGAAGAAAACCTAGCTGATAAAATAAGAAAGTAAATTGAAAGATGTGATGGCCTTTAAGGAATTATGCTTTATCATTCTATTGGAGGAGGATTTGGTGGAGGTTTTACATCCAAGATATTGGAATTACTCTCAGGTGATCTAGCTAAGATTACCAAAGCAACTGTTTCTATATTACCCTCAGAAAAAAATTTATAATCTTCAGTAATTGAACCATATAATTCATTGATGACACTCAAATATCTAAAAGAATACTCTAATATGTCTATAATGTTATAAAATTCAGCTTTATATAAAGTGGCTAATGAATAAATGGATATTGAAAATCCAAATTATTCAACAATTAATAGGATGATAGCATAATTAATATCATCAGTTACTTAATCCTCTAGATTTAATGGATAAAAATTTATTGATTTAATTGAATTGAGAATGAATGTTATCCCAGATCCTGATTTCTAATTTCTTCATGCATCATATGCTCCTTTTGTTAATATTGATAAACAAAATACAGATTTAATTAACTTGTAATAGATTACAAATTCATTGTTTGATGAAAGAAGTTCATTCATTTGTTGTAATCACAAATAAGTCAAATATATGGCAGCTAATCTTTTTTTTAGAGGAGATTGCCCTTGGCCTGAAGTTAAAGGAGCTATAGAATCTTTAAAACAATCTCCAACCATTTAATTTGCAGAATTTGCAGTTCCTGCATATCCATTCGCCGTTAGTGATAAGGCACCTGTTCCATTCCCTAATTGCGAATAAGGTAGATCAAACAAAGCAGTTTGCATGATTGCCAATTCAACTGCTGTTCAAAATCCAATAATTAAAATTTTTCACATTTCCAAATAACTTTATGCTAAACGAAGTTTTGTACATTGGTTTGTTGGAGAAGGTAGAGAGGAAGGAGATATCTCAGAAGCTATTGAAACAGTTCGTACTTGTTTGAACACATATTAGGAAGCTAAAAAAGTAAATCCTGATAAGGATTATTGTACCAGAGTTTAACATGGAACAAATTATATAAGACAATTTGTTTATACTTGTGATTGTTTGGATGTTGAAGGCTATATTAAAAATGGTATCGATAAAGGTGAGGATATGGAGGGTAAATACCTTGGAGTTTGTTTGTAATGTGCAAGAAAGTGCCACGTTGGACACAATCTCAAGGCTAAAGGAATTGAAAATGAATTCTTTTGTGATTGCGGGTTAGAAAATTGTAAAGTCAAATGTCTATGCCAGAAGGATGAAGAAAAATAATAGGATTACGCAGATCCATCACAATGAAATAATTATTAAAATAATGAATTATATTTACCAAAATTTAGAGATTTTCTTCTATTCTATACTATAAATTCTGTTAAATTATAATTGAGCTGCGATTAAATGCTATCATTTTATTATCATCATCCAAATATACTGTTGTATTCAGAGGCAATTAAATACAAGAATCTAATTTACATGACTATTGCATTTTTTCTTCACTACAAATATAATTATGAAAGAGTATCTTAAGAAAAATTATGAATTTTCAATTATAAAATATTATTTAAGGATGATTTAGGAATTCAAACCTAACTTTACTTCATAGTTAAGTATTTGAATTGATAGGAGAAAGAATTTCTAGGATTTTTTATAAGTAATAAGAAATAAAATAAATTTTTTGGTGTAATATTAAACACAATGTCAAATTTAACTTATTTTCTCATCAAGATATTAGATATCTTGATACCCATTCTTTTTAGCTTCAACATAAAATTATTTAGATTTATTCTTTTAACCTGAATCAAATAATGTATCAGCTATAAATTAGATTTTTTATATACCTTTAGCTACTAGATACTCAACATTTTTCGAAATCTAATAAGCTTTATCAAATTATTTTATAGCCTCCTTATATTTCTTCATTTCATGTAGCGCAATCCCTTTTATAGAATAGGCTTGATGAAGTTATGAATTTATCTCAAGAAGTTCATCACAACATTATATTGCTTCTTAATATTACTTCTAACGATTTAAGGCACAACCTATAAATGTAAATTTATACAACCTTTATTTATATAAGCTGCTTCATTCTTTCTGTTTATCTCAATTGATTTTTCATAACACATAAGTTCTTCTTGATATCTTCTTAAACGACCTAATGCAAGTCCTATATAATTTATAAAATATATTGGATAAACCTTTATTTATAAATGCAGCATCATTTTATGGATTTATTTTCAGAGCTTTATCACACCAAAGTATGACTTCATCATATCTTCTTTAGTCAAATAGTGCCAAAGCTAAATGTTTTAAAATATTAATACCCTTTGTAGTATAAGCTAAATCATTTTTAGGATTGATCTAAATTGCTATATCGCATGCATCTAATGCTTCATTTAATCTTCCTAATTTTATTAGAGTGCGACCTGATAAATTAACAATAATTTTCAACCTTTCCATCTATAAACATCATCTAAGGAAGGATCATTTTTTATAGATTCATTAAAGAAATGTAACGCTTCTGAGAAGTTTTGTTAATCCCATAGTTTCATACCTTAAAAATTTTAATTTATTTTCACCTTATTAAAATTATTCTTATGCACTAACTTTATCGCCCTAATATTATTTGGGTTGTTATGCAAATTCTTTGATGAAGTTTGGCTTTGTCAACCCTTTAATAGCATTATCAATTGTTTAAATAAATGATATAAAATTTTCTAGAAATATTTGTCTACTTATACATTAAGTTTTAGGGATTAAACTTATTTATTATTAATTTAAGGTACATATCATAGACTTGATCTCATAATATTATCTTTGAGAGAACATCTCAATTAATTGTTGTGTTTTAGAGATCTTGCTTACTAAAATTTAGCTATGTTATTTATAAGCTTTTTTAATAGTATTATACACTCTCTCTAAATCATCTAGTTCTTTTTATTATTGTTTTAATGACTTAATTGCTATATCTTAATATTATTGAAAATTTTTGCAATCCTCTACATGATTTTTATGTCTTTCTTTTAGACATTATAGGCAAAATTAAGGAATTTATGTACAAATCTCGTTCACACAAAACCCAATAATTTACTCATGTTCATGACCATCAAATGTACACATTAAATATGAATTCATTCTTAAATTATTATGAATATATAATTATAATTCATTATTTTTATACATATATAAATTGTCGGAAAATTTTTCTCTTTCTAAACTAAAGGTTCGATGATGAAAATAGTTCTATGATTTAATAAGTCTAGTTGTAATTTCGAACTTATAAAAATATTACACTTTAATTAACAGGTATTTTTCTAAAATAATGTAATTTTAATAAAAATGGTTAATAAAGCATCTTTAGATATTAGAAAAAGAATAATAATTTATTAATTTTATTTAGATTAATATAGAAAATAATCAATAATTCATTTTCACCCATTTTCCTATTCTAAAATCTTTACTACCAGTATAAAATACTTTTTCTTCTTAATCTTAAAATTCTAGACTGAAAACATAACTTTCATGATTATCATAAGTATCAAATCCTCCTTAAATAACATTAAATATTGTAATCGAAAAATCCATACTTCCGGAAATTAGAAATTTATCATCTTTTGTGAATCTCATAATTAATACACAAAAATTATGATTTCCTGGTTGCTTTCTTATCAATTTTTTATTAATAGATGATTTAATATTTATATTATTTCTATGCCCCTCAGCAAATAAATAATTATTATTTGACATTTTTACATAAAAGGAGGAACATTTTTAGTCCTTAAAAATAATTTTCTATTTGTTAATGTTTAAGAAAAAAAGAGATTGCATTCCAGAGACAATTGCTATTTTTTGTTAAAAATTAGTAGTAATACATGTTAATTTATTATAAGTAGGAAGGATAATTGATTATAATTATCGAGTAGAAATGTTATAGATGTTAATTATATTAGTATCTCCTACAGAGATAATACTTTCATCATTATTAGTTAAAATTGCAAATCTATGTATAATATTAGGAGTCTATATTATCTCTGGTTCAACGAATTACTTATTTTTGTAATTGTAAATTACAAAATAATCATCAAAACCGAACTAAAATAACTAATTGTTCTTTGAAAAAATCAAACAAAGTACTGGGAGTTTGTGTGTTTTTTCTAAAATTTGATAGATTGACTCATTATTAAGATCCAAAATACTAATTTATTCTGTTTTTCCACCAAAAGCAAGTAATTATAGATTTTGATTGATAGCCAAAGTATAAATACTATCATTTGTAACATGAAATTCTTAATATTCAACTTGAAACAAATTCAATTACATCTCAATTTATTTAATAATAATTTATCTTATTATAATCTAGAATATAAATAATTATTTTTTTCCACGTCTTTTATTTCTTAATTCTGAACTATCCTAATTTTTCTCTAACATGTAATCAAAAGACATAATAAATAATTCTATAAGTTTCAAAAATCTTTGCAAATTAAGATAATCAATAGAAAGAAAATAGTAATTAATCTTCATCTAAATATTATGCAATCTTTTTTTATATTATGCATCAAAAACATATATTCATGATTGTTCTTTTGTTAATAAAATATTTTCGATTTACTATCATTTAAATGATAATTTCTAAAAATTTAATATACAAAAAAATATTTGATTCCATTAAACACAACCATTATAAAGTTATAAAAGTTTTTACTCTATCATACAATTTTTCATCCCGATTAAATCCTCTTTTTTGTATCAACACAATTATATATATTAATTCTACTCATTATGATAGTAACGATCAATCATAACTCAAATAATTCAGAAAATGTAAATATTACCCTATTGTTAATAATAAGCTTTTAGCAAAACATTACAGAGACATATTCTTTATTTATATATATTTTTTAAGAATTAAAAGAAACATCAACCCTTAATTATAAATTATAAGGGTATGTAAAATTTAATATATTTTATTTGTTATTAATAATGAAGTAGTAGCAAATTTAACAAATCTTCTTTCTAAATAGAATATCGGATTATGTTAAACCTAATTTGAGTTTGATACATCTTTTGATAATAAATTTAATTATTTAAAAAATGAGTTTCTAATCACTAATCTATTGTATCTAATTTCAATAAATCTCTATCAAATTTGATTAATCTTAGAAGTTATTCAAAATTCGACCAGTTGCTCTTCAATAGATTTTATAATACAATAAGCATTTTTTCTATTTTTGAAAAAATATCAATATCATTAATTGAATATCTATTCTTAATCATCTTAAGTTATAAAATTGTAATAGTAAATTTTTTTAGCTTTACTAGAATGAATAAATTTTAATCTCATCAAGTCTCAAACAACAATTAATTTATAAATTCAAAAGTACAAATAAAGTTTAAGTAATATTCATCTAAGGTCAAATAAAATAATGAATACCTACCTAAATATTATGAATTTCTAAACTTAGAAATATTGTTAAAAATATCAGAACTATATTATGCATATTTTGTGAAAAAAATTAGAAAATTTCTTAAAAGTAACTTCAAAGTTTTGTAGAATTTTTTTTTTTTCTGAACAATTCTGATCCAAATAATTATTTATAAATGATATTCTTTTTTCTTTCATAATAAATAAATGTAGCTAACAAAACAAACCAGCTAAAACCAAATCAAATAACCAATACAAAATATAAAGACTCATTTGAGTGTTTCAGAAGATCCTGTTTTAGTACCATAAGAAGGAAATTAATAGCCAGAAAATTTTGTAAATTTATATTTTAACTGTAGCCTTTAAACTCTACATAGAAAATACCAGATCCATTACAAGTTGATTAAGAATAAAAGGCTTAATTTTCAATTAGTAGATACTTTAAACCTACTCCTGACCCTATACTAGTTTGGGAACCTCATAAAGATAAAATATTACTTAGTGAGCTATAAGAGGTGATTGAAAATCGCTTTAACGAGGTTAAGAGAAAATCAAGCATTTATAAATACTATACGAAAATAGGATTTCAAGTCTTTATATATGTGTTAAATATTCTTGAACTTATCTTTACATTAAGTTACAATTCATATAATGGACTTTATGATGAATTTAGTTCCTGCTATGTAATTTCTATACTTTTTAGTGTTCTACTTCATTGTGGAGTTTGGATGTACACTTATAAATTCAGGGAAGTTGAAAAAAAAAGCGGGTTCTTTGATACTGTGAACTATATATACTACCTGTTTATCGGAGCGTTTAGTTTTTTTAAATTAGCCCCCTTTATTTATTATTTTAAAAGAGATAAATCAATCAGATAGTTTTCATTTAGTGAAATTAATAAATATTTGTAATTAAGTGGGGATGATAAATTAAGAAATCCATGTATACTTTTTAAAGAAAGAATAAAACCTGTAAATATCTTTAGGGATTTAATATTCCATAGAGTTGCTCTTGTCTCAATGATGATTACAATGACTATTCAAACTATTCCTTAAATCTTTATATAAGGCTTTTTTAATACTTTAGGAGATAGATGGGATGGATTTAATACGATTAGTTTTTTATTATTAATTAGTAATTTAATATATTACTTTTCGGAACTATAATTTATAGTATTCACTACAACCTATAGATAAATGCAGACAGAACTATTATTTAAATTATAGAAAATCAAATTAAAGACTATTTAAGAAACAAAACAATTAATAAAAACTGATCTAAAATATATTGAATTTGTTTAATCTTTTTTTTTTCATATTGATCCAATTAAGTTCAGTTCTTATTAAAAGAAAAGATGTATGATTTAAATATTAAGTTTTTTGATTAAGTAAAAAAAATTAAAAAATATTGAATTTCATTTTATTGATTAATATGATGAAGTTACCTTATAATATTTAGCTAATTGTTTTAAATTAATTAAAGTAGAATAAATAAGTCTTTTATATCATGATTAAAATCGCGAAAATTTCTTGTAGAGTATATTTAGGGATATTCCAAATTTAACACTTTCAAAATAAAACCAATTAAATCTAGATATTTTATGGGATAATGATGTTCTTAATACTGATGCAGAATCTGAGACAGTAAAATAGATATAATTTATCGAAAATCCAAAAATGACTACAGGTTTTAAACCCATACCAAAGAAATGGAATGATAAGTTTAATTTTTCATTCATGACTAAAGAATTTTAATAACTGATGTCAATCCACCAAAAAGGATCATTAACACTAAGTAAAAGAGTTAGTGTTAATTAATCATAAATAATTGATTAAAATATAGAAGGAAATCAAGAAACAACTTCACAAATTATTGATGAAGCAAAAACTCAAATTGCTTAGATAACCAAAAGAGATCTTTTTTAAGAAAAAATTGGGAATATTTAATCATTAATGAGTTTGTATGATTATTATGAAACCTGGACAAAATTGAATTCATTTTAAGCAGCTATTTAGACTATTTCATCATTTTTTAATGGGCTCTTATAAATTATTTCTCTAATATTTTTGAATAATGGAGATGATATATTCATTTATGCATTAATTGTATTAACTATAGTCAATCCAATGTTGTAGATGGGATCATTTGCAATATTTTAACATCGTGTATTTAAAAATTTTTCCACTTTAAGATAACTGTTTTATATTCTGTTATTTGCAATATTTAACTTTTTTAAGATATGGGATATAGTTATGATTTGTTTATATTTATGTGTAAACTAATTCTCTAATGCAGTATAAAGAGACTTTAGTTCTGAAGGATACATAAAATTCAAGAGTTATGCTTCAAAATTTTAAGGTAGCTTAGCAACTTAAGTTTTTAAATATGATACTGTATAAGTTGATCCAAAGAACATTTTATAAATTAAGAATTAGCCATTCTATTAGGCTGTAATGTGGAGAACCAATGTAGAAGAAGCCTTAAATAAAATTCCTTAGTTCTTTATCTATATATTATCTCTATTTTTAAATAAGAATCCAGATTCATTATGGATTTTCTCTTTCTTTCAACAACTAAAAGAAGGTATATAGGCAGTAAAAGATATACTAGAAATTGTTATTAAAGACTATTTTATTCCAGCTTTAATTTTAGGTACAGATTCAGTCGACTAATTCTTTTAATCTATGTTATATTTGGGCTCAATATCAAATTAAATATTATTGGAATATCCTAAATCCTTTTAAATTATGTCAAAAGTCTCAGAAGAGCATCTAAAATAGAAACTAACCTTTAAAATTAATTTGAAAACCTTAAGATTTACCAATTATGAAGATTTAAAAAAGAAGAAGATGTTAGCTTAGTTTAGGTTAGTGCTTGCTTCTTTACAAAACAGTTTAGAAATAGATTAAGCATAAAGATTATGTAGTTTGGGACCTGAATTAAAAGATTTTGTAAGATGTTTAAAAGTCAGTCCTATTTATTAAATAAAATTGAATTTTTATTATGACGATATTGGTCCTGACCTAAATGCTCATCTTAATACATTTGTTAGAATTTGCCCCAAAAAATTACAATTCTTATAAATTCAAATAGAAGCTTCTACTGTACAATAAATGGAAATTTTTGTAGAAAGAAATGATTATTTAACAGCTTTTTCTTATTCATATTTCTAAATTATACAATAATACAGAGGTACCTCTGAAGTAGCTTAATAATAAAACTTGAATATTGATTAAGATTTTTTAAAGTTAGATCGGTATGATTTTGATTAATTTTATTTCGAAGTTTCTGGTAATCTTAATTTAAATAATTGTCATTATCTATTTGAAAAGTTCACCTAATTGAAAGTATTCAAGGCATTTATTGTAAATTATTCAGCCATTCAGACTTTTGAATTTACTACCAATCTATAAAGTAAGTAATTAGAATTTTTGGATATTACTTTTGAAAATATTTCATTAGATTTTTAATAATACCCTTTTGCAAACCTAAAAATAATAAAAATGGTTTTGATAAGGTGTGAGTTTGACATTGATAAACTTTAGGAAATATTAAATAATCTTAGCTATAACACAAATGTAGTTCATATAGATATCTCACGATGTTTGTAACACTTTACAACAAATTAAAGGAGAGATTTGATAAGAAAGCTAGAAGGATAAAACATAGATATTGTTATAAAAATGTGATTATTTTTAATATTATTATGAATTCAATTTTATCAGTAATTTCTTCACTAAATTCTTTATGAATATAAAAGCAAATTTTTCCTTTATATATTTGTTGAATATGTATAAAATATTTGAGTTTGTTTCGGACTTTTAGATGACTTGCAAAACAGCTATAATAAAGAATACCTTAAAGTGTTAGTTTATTCTGAAGATATATGACTCCCAAATTTTGTCTACCTACCTACCTTACTATATTACTATGGGTGATAAAAGGGTAAATTATGCAAATGAAAGCGATTTGAAAAATACGGTTGTATATAAACAAAATTTAAAAATTTTTGATGTTAAATCAGTAAAATTAATAATCAAATTTATGACATCATTATGAAACAATAATAATCAAAAAATTAAAAAGCTAAAAATCTATAAAGCATTCACATTTACAAACATTTCTTAAATGAAAGATCAAAAATTATACTTAATCAAGAAATCAGGAAAAGTTCAAATATAAATCAAATTATCTTTAAATTCTCAAAAATTCTTAAAATTCATTAAATTATCAAAAATGAATATAATATTTTACAATCGTACAAAGTATAAAAAATAATCATCAAATGAAAAGAATAAAAATTAAAAATATTTTACTTTAAAAACTGATTTATAACAATTAAATAGAAAAAAAGGTTTTAAAAATAAAAATAAGATTTTGTTTTAAATATAAAATTAAAAATAGGGATTACTTCATATTTGAATGTAGAATTGAAATTAAATAGTCATCCGCAAAATAGTAAGATTATAATTACATTATTCTATTTTTATGGATGCTCAATATAATATATTTATAAACCAAATAAATGAAGAAGGAGTGCTAAAAAATTTTCACAAATTATTAAAATTAAAGGATTGGTTCATATTTTAAAAAGTTAACTATGTTTATTGAGGAAAGAAAACAAGATTAATTTGAAATAGTCAAAGATTCATCATTCAAAAGAGGAAAAATTAATAAAAAGATTGAATTGAGATTTTGATGATAAAATGAAGTGTTGCTTTAATACAGTGTTATTCAGAATTCATCTTTCCATTATAAAATCCTTCGATTTAAAATGTTTTGAAGAACGAACCAATATTAATCAAGCTAACAATTTCAAAATATCTTTGAATAATATACTATAATAATAATGATGACAAATAAAAATTCATAACTTAGGAATTCATTTGTAGGGTTCTTTGGTAAAACATAGGAGATATTAGCAATTGGACGTTGCTTCCCAAACATTACGAGGTGTACAGTGAGGATCCGCTCAAACATTTCACTTTTTGACCGAGACCCCTGACCCCGTCTTACACTCATTGTTGTTATGTACAGTTGTTGACCAGTGATTAAACCAGTTTTAATCTACTTCTTTCAACAACCTTCATGCCTATTGTTTAATAAAGAAGACACCTCCCCAATG